AAGGAATTGCTGTGGGATGGGTTTCAAGAGAGAGATAAAAAGAGTGTCAGGATCGCTGAGGACAAGACCGCGGGGAGCTCAAAGGAAAAGAAAGCTTTAGGTTTGCGTAGAGCTGACAGCAAACCAGCCAAGAGACCTCTGGTGCTAGCAAAGTCCGGAGCTGGGGCACGTCATGAAGGATATAACTGCAGTGTGGGTTTCAGCATCTTCGCACGGGGGGTATTGCACAGCTCCTGCCCAAGCTGCCCTTGCTGTGGCTCTGCCTGCAGCTCTCACAGAGATGTAATTACCCTGGCCACAGTGAATCAGATATCTTGGGTGGTTTCACACCCTTCCCATGCTTAATCTCGCAGATCAAGCGAAATATCCTCTTGGCCCTACCTCCTAGTGTGAACCTATTCTTTGAAAAAGTAAAAGGAAAAATTCTTAGGTCTAATTTAGGAAATAAAATGCCCTAATTTCAAACCTGTGATCTGATTGCTGTACCCAAGTAGAGCTGTTGCATGTTAGATCTGCTCTTGCAGTTCTCTTAATTGAAGCTGTTCCACTTCGAACACACCAATTATTTTTTCATTTGGCAAAAAAGTGTTTGAGTGTTTGATTTTTATAGCCTGGAGATTGGGAAACTTGCTAGCCCTCACCTGGGAAAGTGAGGTTCAAGGTCTTCTAAATTGACCAAAAAACAGGATTTGTGGTTTTTTTTTTTTTTTTTTTTTTTAAGGAAAAAGGAAAAAGAACTCCTAGTGGTGATACTTTTATGGAGTCTTACAGACATAACCATTTTCTCCTGTACTTTTTTTTTCTTAATAAGTTATTACAGTTTTCAGGTCTTCAGATTTTGCTCTCAGTCTTTCCCAAGAAACTCAGAAGTTGTTTAATGAAGATATATACTTGTTCTAAGATGCACTGAAAATCATTCTCTTGCCTTATCAGCCACTACAGAAAAGAATCGTTGGGCCAAAGGTAAGGAATTTGTTTAGCTGGTTATTTGTTTAACTTTTTTTTTTTTATAACTGGTTACGTGCCTTTTTTTAGACCACTGAGGTAATGTATGGTTTCCTTAGGATAGCAGAAATAGCAGTGCTGAAAATGATGCAATAGTCTGAAGAACAATTAGATTGATTTCTGCATATGGTGACTTTATTCTCTCTGTAGTGGAGACTTGAAGCAAAGACTTCAAATCTCCAAGCAAAGACTGAAGAAGCAAAGTGAGACTAGACTAGAAGCAAATGGATCGAGTTTTTTGTTTTCTCTTTTAAAAACATATTTTTGTAATGTCCCCTTTGTTGCAGCTCCGTATTCCCACTGCTCAGCTAGTGTTTAAATATTGGAAGGAGAAGTAAGATGGAAGTCGTCCCAGGGCACTGCGGTTTCCAGGCAGTGTATATGAATTTTGACTCTGTGTTATTTTGATCAGCTGCATGAAATGAACATGTTGATGTCTATTCTTTTTTTTTCTTTTTTTTTTTTTTTTGAGTGATGTTAGGATATGAGCTAGTGAATAAGGCAGGTAAGTGTTTTTTGGTTTTTTTTTTTTTTTTTGGTACTGTTTTCTAGAATATGTTTCAATGTATATTAATTATTTGAGAAAGATACTAAGACATGGAACAGTCTTAACAGAAGGCTGCTGAAGAGACTATTCAGAAGACAATTTGCACGCAGTAACTCATTAGTTCCCTTCTTGCCTTCAGATGCTGTGTGGTTCTCCTGTGTGCTTAAACAATTTCTCTGCTTTATTCTGCAGAGATCCTCTTCTTAGTTTTTCTCCATGGCTAGTGATCACTGACGTTTTGGAGAAAGGTAGTGGAAGTGCTGAGATTGGCATGGATGGGAATGGCTCTGGGTGCGGAGGCAGCAGCAGAAGGGCTCCAAGACTGATACCGCCTGGATCAGCAGGTCACCAAACCCCAGCATGCAGCTACATGCGGGTGTGCGGGACAGCAGCCCAGGAGGAAATGTGCAAATCCTGGTGACTCTCAGAGCCAAAACAGCATGAAGAAATTCATCATGGACAACTCCTAGAGGTGTAGAAAAGCCTATGCAAAATCAGCACCTGGTTGCCCACCTGAAATGAACCCAGAAAAACTCAATACCCCCCTTTAAGGGGTCTTAAAGGTCTCCTGGATGCAAGAGTTTTGGAGCCAGATGTTGCACAGACTACTTGTACAGGTGCATCCTGGTACCTGTTGTGTATGTTGGTGTGAGAGTGTGAATGAGTGAAATCAACCTGTTTGAAAATGAAATCGGCCTCCCTTGGCATACCGGCTGGCTTTAGCATTGCTAATGCTGCGAACAGCATGAAGGAATTCATCATGGACAACTCCTAGAGGCGTAGAAAAGCCTACGCAAAATCAGCACCTGGTTACCCACCTGAAATGAACCCAGAAAAACT